ATTACGACAAAGTATTACAACCGCGGCCGGGGCTGCGCGACCGCTGGACGACCGACGGGGGCCGAGGGCAGAGGCAGGGAGTATCGATCTTATCAAAACTGCATTCGGGAGCCGGTCCCTGCGCGGCAAAAAACTATTATCGATCATTCTCGCCGGCAATTTCCATGCCCGACCGATGTTCCGCCCTTCGTACGCGCATCATCGGATACTCATCAAACGAGGCTGGCTACGTCTTCGCGACGCGAGACGACGCCACGCGGGTCCCCCCCCCAACGGCGACCAGTTTTTGCGCTTGGGAACCAGCCGATTTCACCGTCGACGTGGCACCGGGAAGACGCGTACGAATTGCGGACGATTTGGAAGGCACGCTCGGGTGTACGGCGATAATGTATCGACATTGACGCAAACGAGACGTTAGCCCGAATCAACTTTGTCCACGGTTAACTGTGCGCTGGCAATATGGTTTTTCAGCTTGGCCGGTAGTTAGCATGCTCCTTTTATGGTTGGGCTTGGTTTTTCGTTGCTGTGGCTTCTGCGGAGATGCGAAATGATTTTGAGATACTTGTTATGGTGCGCAATTTAACGCGTTAAGCGCCGCGGAAATCTTCACCGTTTCTTTCGTAGAGTTATTCTTTTGCGGCACAGAAAATCGGGAAGAGTTGTTAATTATCTAGCGTTACGATCGTTGCATTACACTATTATCAGCTTAGTAACGTTATCGAACGCTCTCATTGGACATAAGTTATCGTGGATGTTACGATTGTTTCCAAGTCAAGAAGCGTCGGTCATCGGTGACTGACGTGACGTTTAACGTGTTAATATACAAATATCACGATATTATTCTGTGGTAGAAATTGAGGATCGTGGTGAAGTTATGGAGAAATGAGATCTTCCATATATGCTTGATATCGCTGAGGTTAGTTTTACGGCTGTAGGAGTTTCTGTAAAAAGTCGTCGCGATCAACGGAGATCCTCTGGTTTATTGTAATGCTGGTCGCGTTATATGTTTGAGTTATGTATTTTGCAATGAAAGTACATTTGAATCGATACCGATTTTGTTTAAGAATATTTTGATCGGACGTGTCGATCCAACGGGTGGCTCTAGGAGCGCCGAAGGAACGCCGGGAACGTTTAACCCGCGTGAAAAATCGGCAGTCCGTAAAACACAGAAAAAAGCGGAGGTAAATATGTATTTTATACAGGGCAGATGATTTGTTCAAACACTCGTGGACGGCGGCGTGTACGTGTGTTACTCAGACCGGCCATTACACGCGCGCATTCCTGCTCCAGCTCGCCGGCGTCATCCAACGCGGAAGTCCTCGTTCGAGAGGCACTCGCCGGCTACGATATCCTGGATGAACTTTATGTCGGATTATGTGAACACCTTTTGGCTCCGGGAGAAGGCAGCATAGCTTAGCGTTAAGGAACTGTTAACTTAAGGGATATCGTCGGTGGGCCGCGGTTCTTTATGCATTTATACGCCTCGTAAAAATGCTACGGGGAAAAATAAAATACAAAGTTTAATAGAATTTAATAGACCAGTTGGGCTATTTACATTCGGCGAGTGCCCAGTATCGCCGGGAGAAATGTAATTACCCCCGACTTCATTTCCTCTGAATTTATATGGAAAAACGCGAGTCCGCTAAACAATGGCCTAATTAACCGTTCGTGTTCTGGAGGCGCTTTAGATTGCGTTCGTTAAAACGCTAGCGCGAATCGAATATTTCGAGACTCTCGTGAAATTGAATTTAATCGAGCCACGTGTCATTCGAATAAATTTTGAAGGAGGTAGACGGATTCAACGAGCAGAACAGCGAAAAATAGAATAACACAGGCTGCGAAGGGTTAAAAGCACATCTTATTTCCTGTAATTCTCTTTCCGGTAAAACAGAGGTTAATAAACTTCTCGAAAATGGAACTAATCTGCCGGGAGACCCACGTTGCCAATTGCCAACACAATGCGTGTACGATAATCCTTAACTCGTTAACTAGGAAAGATAAACAAACTCATTTGCATTTATCTGCATACTTCGGCCATTCATCAATTTCTCATTCGTTCACCGGAAAATCCTCCAATCCAGTGGCACCGCGATTATTAACGCAAAACGACGGCATTTGTGTTACAAAGTTAATTTATAAACAGCCCGAGTCGATTTAATTCAGGCTTAATTAGACGCGCGGAATTTCAACGACCGAACGGCCTCTCGGATCGAAATTCTCGTCCGACTTACTTAAACGGGCGCTAAAATAAATCATTTTTCCCCGTTCGAGCGACACAGAAACGCTCGCGAACAGGACGAGGTAGAAATTTCCGAGGCAGCCGCGAGGAATTCGAAAGATTTCGATAATTTCGCGGACACGCCGCGATCGAACGCTACGTACCGGCCGGAAATATACGGATTCCTGAGCGTCGAGCGCCGCGAGCGCCTTTACGATCGGCACCGTCGTCTTCGGCGCGGGTTTTCCACGAAGCGACGCAACATCCATCCGACGCACGATCGGATTTCAGAGCGCGACACTGCGTGGGAACGTGGATACGCGTCGATTTCACGTGCACGTTGCAGCCGCGAGGCGTACCAACCGGTCGGCGCGATTCGACGAAGCCGTGCTCTCGCACTGGAAGTGGCCAGACACTAAAATTTCCTCTATTATATTATTTATTTATCGAATGGAAATGATTTGATTAATCGAAATATGTGAAACGACGAATTTACCAGGTTCGATCACCTTTTGTACCTCGGATAGAGAGTAAAATACCTTTCTCTGTGATCTCTGTTTATCGGATGAAAATGATTTCTTTAATTAACATATATAAAACGACGAATTTAACAGGATCGATCAGCTTTT